AAAAAAAAAAAAAAAAAAAAGGATGCAAATGTTCTCCAAAGAGGTTAAAACTGTCTGACCCTAGGAATATTAGGCATAGCACCAAAACTGGCAGTTTGTGGTGTGCTGCTCTGAGCAGAGTTGGCCTCTCCTGTGGAATCACCCCTACAAGACTGGAAGCTCCCAGTGGGAAGGGACCAGACCGGTCTTGTAAACTGTCTCCTGTGCCCAGACCACAGCAGGCACTCAGCAAACACCTGTGGGACAAAAGAGCTCACTTGGGACTGGCCAGAGTGTAGGAAGGGTAGGTGTGTTGGGGGTGGTTAGGCAGGATCCCAGGATACACTGGTCGTCTATGCTGTTCAATGTGAAGCGAGTGTTGGAGAATCGGGCAAAGCCATCCCGGTAGAGCCAGGCCCGCAGCGGGATATACTGAGGCAGAGGTGGAAAGAGAGAGAGAAGAGAGAGCGTATACGTACAGGCACTCTCCCACCACCTAGCTCTTGCACCTACCATTTCCTCCCCCCGGAGTCCCCTTCTGTCTTTCCCAAATCAGACACCTGCTCTCACACCAGGCTTCTTTGATTTTATCCCCTCCTTTCCCCAGGGGGGAAAGGGGATATAGAAGGAAACCAAATGAAGGTGAGGTCCAGGAAGACAGGGGCAGAGTCTGTCTCAGACACCCCTGTAGCCTGTGCCCAGCATAAAATTTTGAAGGTTGGCTGAAGGGATGAATGAATGGGTGGAGGGAATATAGCAACTCCCTGATTGAGAGGCTCTCTGAGGCCAGGCTGCCTGGATTTGAGTCCCAGCTCTGCTGCTCACCAACTGTGTGACGTTGGGCAAGGTACACAACCTCTCCATATCTGTCCCCTCATTGTAAAGGGAGGATAATAATAGAACCTACCTCCCTGGGTTGTTAGGAGGCCTGAATGTGATAAAACCTGCTAAGTGCCGGGGCCTAGTACTTAGTAGGTGCTCAGTAAATGTCTGCTGTGGATGACCGAATGAATAAAGAAGGGCAAAGAGAGAGCAAATCTAGATTTGGGGGCAGCTAAGATGGTAAACTTTGGGTACGTCTCCCTGCTCCCACCCCATCCCTAGATGTCCCCCCAGGCTCTCTCAGGCAGAGATAAAACCAGACAAGCTCACACAAGGTACCCACAGGCCATTTTCCCCATCTCCAGAGTCCAGCCACCCTTTAACCCCTGCTGGAGGAGGGCCCCCCGCTTCGTTACTCACCGACATCACCAGCACGTAGACACGCAGGTCAAACTTGCGGCCTGTCAGACAAGGAAAGAATTAATTTGTGCAACAAATATTGATCATCAGACATTGTGCTAGGTTTTGGGGAAATAGCGGTGGACAGACAGACAGGAAACCCTGCCTTTATGAAGCTCCTGCTGAAACTACACAAGGGGCCAGGCACAGTGCCTCATGCCTGTGTGATCCCAACACTCTGGGAGGCTGAGGCAGGAGGATCACTTCAGGCCAGGAATCCAAGACCAGCCTGAGCAGCATAGTGAGACGCTGTGTCTACAAAAAATTAGCCTCCCATGGTGGTGCCCACCTGTAGTCTCAGCTACTCTGGAGATTGAGGCAGGAGGATCGCTTGAGACCAGGAGATGGAGGCTGCAGTGAGCTATGACCATGACATTGCACTCTAGTCTGGGTGACAGAGACATGGGCTCAAAAAACACAACAAAAACTACACAAGGTATAAAGAGAGAATAATGGGAGGTGGGGAGGGGTGTGTGGGGGTCAACCTGGGGGAAAGGCTTGAAACTCAGTAGGCAAATAAGACCCTCATGGGAGTAGTAACCTTCACGGAAGTTACTGCTTTCACAGTGCCTGCCTAGCCCAGAGTGGTGCAGGACCTTGGGTGGGAGAAACTGCAAGAACAGAAGCCTGAAGGGGCAAAGAGCTTGGGCCAAGGGCAGAGAGGAAGGAGATGAGGTCGGCTAGGCTGGCAGAAGTCAGGCCCCGTGCACTTTTGGGGTTCTGTCCCAAAAACCATGGGAAGCCACGGAAGGATATCTCCTCCCTCTGGCTGCTATGTTGGGGTGGAGCGAAGTGGGCAGAGCAGCCGTAGGCACCAATGAGGAGGAGAGTGTGGTTGTCCAGGAGGGAGGGGATGGTGGCTGGGACCCGGGCAGAGGTGAGAGGAGCAGCCAGACAGATTCAAGAGCTTGCGGGAGCCTGGCGAGAACCAGATGTTGGGGGAGGAAGGGGACATACCCAGAATGGCTCCTGGCTTCTGGCTGTGTCCCCGATGGAGAAGCTGAGAGATGGTGAGGGAATGGGAGGGCAGAACTTGGGGTATGTTGGGTTTGAGCAGCTGGCAGATGCCCAAGAGGGATGTCACAGGCTGCTGGACATCAGGATCTGAAGTTCAGGGGCAAGGTCCTGGCTGGGGACAGAAAGCTGGGAGTCACTAGCATTTGGGTGGTGTTTAAGTCACAGACAGGACAGGGTCACTATGGGGAAGAGAGGAGAAGAGACCCAGGGGCTGCCCCCTGGGGAAGGTAACTGCCAGAAGACATGAGAACTGGCATTAACACTTGCAATGATGTCACCCATGCCTGATGTCCTGTAGTTCCCAGAGCCCAAGTGAGAAGAGCAGATGCCGGGCACACCTGGGGAAACCCACCAAGGTTGCAGGGAGGAGGCTGGGTTCCACCTCAGGGCCTCTGCCCTGCAATTCCTCCTCCCTGCATTCCTCTCCCTCCAGATCTACCCACAGTGACTCCTAGCTGCCACTCAGGTCTCAGCTCACATGTCACCTCCTGGCCCCCACATCATTCTCTGTCCCATTGTCCTGCTTGACTGACTTCATAACACCAGCACTGCATGGGGCTGTCCCGTGGTGTGTTTTCTGGTTTATTGCAGCCTGTTCATTGAGGGTGTAAACTCCAGAGGAGCAGGGTGGGGGGCAGCATTCAGGGCAGCGCTGGCACCAAATAGGCACTTTAAAATAGTTGTTGGATAAATGCATGAATAAGTAAGTTGGTTTTTAAAGGAGGAAAATTTTCCTGAACCAAGAAGGGAATGGAAAGGGCATGCCAGGCAGAGGGAACTGTATGGGCAATGGCTAGGGGTGGGAGACTGCAGAACTGATCTCTTTCCATGCGTCCCTTCACGCCTAGTGTCAGGCTGGGCCCTTGGCAGGCTGCTGGTCAAGGCTTGTTGACTGACTGACTGATAACCGTGCAATAGAAGAGCAGGGGCAGAGACAGCCATCTCACCTCCTATCAGGTAGGGATTTTCGATGTAACGCTGAGCCACGTAGTTCTCCACAGGAATATCATCTTTCTGGTCATCAGAGTTTCTTGTGTCCTAGTAATAATAATAATTGAACATTTATTTATGGATCATTGCCTGTGTACTAGGCATTGTGTTAGACACTATTTGGGGTAGCTCATTGGATCTTTAAATCAACCCTATCAGGTAAGTACTAACGTTATTCCCATTTCACAGACAAGAAACTGAAGGACAGAGAGGGAGAGTAACTTGTCCAAGGTCACACAGCCAGTTAGTGGTGTCGCTGGGATGTGAACCTACACGGTCTGGGCCCAGAGCCTAAGTGTTTAACCTCTAGACTTGTGTTGCCCAGTAGGGCAGTCACTGCCATAAGAGGCTATTTACATTTACATTTACCTTGACGGAAAGTAAATGAAATTACATGCTACAACACGGGTGAAAGTCGAAAACACAGGCCAAGTGAAATAAGCCAGACACACAAGGACAAATATGGTCTGATTCCACTTAGATGAGGTGGCTAGAGTAGTCAAGTTCATAGAGACAGAAGGTAGACGGGGGTTGCCCGGGGCTGGGGAGAGGAGGGAATGGGGAGCTGGTGTTGAACAGGCACAGTTTCCGTTTGGGAGGATGGAAAGTTCTGGAGATGGACAGTAGTGGTGGCTGTACAACAGTGTGAATACACTTACAAAACCAGACACTTAAAAGAGGTTACGATGTAACTTTCATGTTACTTTATATTTTACCACAGTTTTTGTTTTGTTTTGTTTTGTTGTGTTTTGAGAATGAGTCTCACTCTGTTGCCCAGGCTGGACTGCAGTGCCACAATCTGGGCTCACTGCAACCTCCACCTCTCAGGTTCAAGCAACTCCGTGCCCCAGCCTCCCGAGTACCTGGGATTACAGACGAGAGTCACCACACCCGGCTAATTTTTGTATTTTTAGTAGAGATGGGGTTTCGCCATGCTGGCCAGGCTGGTCTCAAACGCCTCGCTTCAAGTGATCTGCCCACCCCAGGCTCCCAAAGTGCTGGGATTACAGGTGTGAGCCACCGTACGCAGCCCATAATTTTAGAAAAGGATATGAAATTAAAAATCCAGTCCTCAGTCACACCAGCCACGTGGCAAGTGCCCAGCTCAACATCTCACCTGTGGCTAGTGGTCACTGCATTGGAGAGCACAGATATCCATTTCCATCCCTCTAGAAAGTTCTGTTGGACAGTGCTGCCTACACCACCTATGGGCCTCCGAAGACATTGCTCCTTCTCCTCTACCTGCCAGCCCAGCTCCGGAGGACAGCAATGCTTTCATGCATGGGCATAATACCTCGCAGCCTGCAAATGCCTTTCCCACCCGTTGTCCCCTTCGCTCAAAGACAAGGGTCACACACTTGATGGGGTCACACAACCAGCCCAATGGCAGGCAACACTGGCTCTCAGGACAGACCTGCTCCACCCACCATTGCTCCCCGCTCTACTGTGTCAAGACAGAAGCAGCCAGGTCTTGCCTTCCTGGGACCTGGGCCCAGCTCCACCTCCACTCATGTGGCTGCCAGATGGACTGACAGTACTCCCCCAGGCAGGCTGGGCCTCCAGGCTGCTGAGCTTCTTCCCTGCAGTGCCCTGACAGTTTCATGGGAGGAGTCAAGACATTGAGCACTGCTGTGCACCTCCTGGTACAGCAGGTGCCAGTCCTATAGGATTTCAGCCATCCTGCTCCTCCCACCCACCCTGCACCATCATCACCGCTCAGCTTCAGAGGGCTTCAGCCATTTTTCCAAGACCACACAGCTGCTGAGTGGGAGAAGCAGGATTTGAACCAGGATTTCTACTGCACTGTGTCTTGGGACAAGAATGGAGTGGGGGTGGGAGGGAGCTGCCCCAAAGCTCAGTCTAGGCCCTGGAAGAAGAGTCAACCATACTCTCCCCAGCCACGTGAGCGGGAGGCCCAGATAAAGAATATGCATCAGCCGGGCGCGGTGGCTCATGCCTATAATCCCAGCACTTTGTGGCTCACGCCTGTAATCCCAGCACTTTGTGGCTCACGCCTGTAATCCCAGCACTTTGGGAGACCGAGGTGGGCAGATCATGAGGTCAGAAGTTCAAGACCAGCGTGGCCAATATGGTGACAATGTCTCTATTAAAAAATACAAAAAATTAGCCAGGCATGGTGATGCGCGCTTATAATCCCAGCTACTCAGGAGGCTGAGGCAGGAGAATTGCTTGAACCTAGGAGGCAGAGGTTGCAGTGAGCCGAGATCATACCACTGCACTCCACCCTGGGTGACAGAGTGAGACTCTGT